ACGTTGTGCCCTTGGGAATTTCCTCTCTCCAACTTCGGTTGGGGAAAGCCGTATTGAGGTCACCTTGTGGCGCCGAATGGCAGCCGCACAGACCATTGCGACAGTTCCACAAAAAAATAATTGTGGAACAAATATGTGTCATGTGTATTATTTTGATTGTTGTAATTGATGTGATTTGTATTATGTGATACCCTGCATCAATTCAGCCGTATAAAGGGCACTACGACTGCACGAGTACTGTTTGGACAATAAAAGAACCATTTATTTATTTAATATTTATTATAGTTTCATCATATAGAAGGTGTGATTTTATGGCGTTTGTCATGTTAAAATGGTTTCCACTAGGGCCTGAACCACCTCGTGAAGGACAGGGAAACCCATGAGTTGATGCGGGAGCTTCACCAGCAGATGGACATCATCCACCACCTCAACATCAAGGTCTCCATCAAGTCCGAGATGCACGGATCGGTCCAGCAGGTCAGTAGTACCCCACTTCCACCGGGTGGTCCTTGTTGCTTGGCTATTGTATAGTTAACGTTCATGTGTACTGAAATGTTAGTCTCCACCAGGCCTTTATTGAGTACTGATCGTAGAATTGGTAACAAAAGGGAAGAAATATGAGCATTTTTTAGTTGATTCAGGACCAGAATTTTTTGTTTGTTTGCAAATCAGAAAAAATGAAGAGAACCAACAAGTTAAATTTGTGTGGCCTTACTTGTTGTTCAACAACTTTTATACCTTCTTTCTTGCTTAGTAGTGACGATTGAATAGATATTGCATGTATGATGCAGTTACTGTACTACGTCACACCACAACGTTAACGCACTCTGAAAAGAAACATTATACTAAAACGTGAAACTTTGTGTTAATGTTAGGAGTGGCGCGTGAGCAGGGCGATAGAAGTCATGATGCAACACGTGGAGAACCTCAAGCGTCTGTATGAGCGGGAACACGCAGAGCTGGAGGAAATGAGGTAAACTTTCAGACAAGCATGTTTAGTTGTTACAGTAGCTCTGTAGAATAGTAGATTGTATAACTGTTAGTACCTCATCTGTGTAACCCTAGACTACTGGTAACTCTGTGTAACTAAGTTCTAAACTCCCTCGTAACCATTAGCAGTGCCATTAGACCACATCTACCTGTATTAGAGTTAACATACGGACTAATAAACCGGGCTCAGCAGAAGTAATCGAACTGTTTGGACCTCGTTTATAGTAAGATATATATATATAGACGCTAAGATGCCAAATTACCACCAAACTTCAAATATTACGCCTCATCCGTATTGACTAAATAACACAATCAAATGACATGCACGCTTTGGATGACTTTAAAAACCTACGAGAAAGCACTGCTTACGCTTGAAGCCACAATGTTGAAGCAAAGATTGACAATGGAAATAATCTGAGCAAAAGGACGATTCATGACTTCTATGACTTCTATGACCCCCATTCTGTACCTGGCTGGAACGCCGTTGTGAAGGAGGCCCACCATGCCGCCCGAGACGCCTTCTTTCTCTGGCGGCAAGTGGGTCGGCCTAGGCACGGAGCCGTTTGGGAAATTATGAGAAAATCAAGGGCCAAATTCAAGCTTTTACTTAGGCAGTGCCGCCGTTCTGAGGCACAGTGCAGAGCGGACGCACTAGCCACGCACCTGCATCAGGGGGGTTGCAAGAGTTTTTGGAATGCCTTGCGTGCCCAAAACTGCTCCAAGTCTAACCTTCCCCACACTGTTGAGGGCCACACCGGGGCCCCAGATATCGCTGATATGTGGCGAAGCCATTATAAGTCACTGTTCAACTCGGTAAACTCGAATCACTACAAGCAAGCTGTTACACAGTCACTTAACTCAGGTGTTAGTGTAGACTGTACGATCTCAGTAGATGAGGTTTGTGATGCTATTAATAATCTGCCCAATGGGAAGGCTAGCGATTTTCAGGGTATCTCTGCGGAGCATCTCAAACATGCCGGGACTCGGCTACCTGTTGTGCTCTCAATCTTAATTACTTCTATGTTGAAACACGGCTATGTCCCGCCAAACCTTCTTCGAGTGGTAATTGTTCCAATCCTTAAGAAGCCCTGTTGCAATGCGTCGAGCAGAGATAATTACCGACCCATCGCCATCGCTAGCCCTCTATCTAAACTCATTGAATGCATTCTACTGAAACGCCTTGAGGATTCTTTAGTTACTCCTAGTAACCAGTTTGGTTTTAAGAAGAGTCATGGTACCGACCTATGTGTATTTGCTCTTAAGGAGGTTATTCAGTACTATCGCCAGCGGGGCTCTCCTGTGTTCGTATGTTTTCTTGATGCCTCGAAAGCCTTCGATCGTGTCAATCACTGGACTTTGTTTAAGAAGCTCATTGACCGAGGAGTACCGATGTACCTAGTTAGATTTCTTGTTATATGGTACGAGACCTTGTCCTTCTCTGTCCGCTGGGGTCGAACCCTCTCTGACACGTTCACAGCAAGTAATGGTCTGCCGCAAGGCAGCCTATTGTCTCCATTCCTGTTCAACGTGTATGTTTCTGATGTAAGTGTCGAATTATCAATGTCCGGGGTGGGATGTGTTGTTGGTGATACTGTGGTGAACCACTTAATGTACGCGGACGATATTTGTTTGATCTGTCCTTCTGTGAGGGCCCTACAGAAACTAATTGACATCTGTGAGCACGCGGGAACGGATATCGACATGTTATTTAACGATAAGAAAACCATGTGTATGTACTTCCCATGTCGCCGCTTCCGCCTGCATGGCCCACCTCCTCAACTGAAGTTGTACGGCTCCACATTAGCATATGTTTCAACTGCCAATTACCTTGGGTATTACATTACCCCTGACCTGTCCGATGATTCAGCCATCCGGTGCCAGGTTAGAAGTTTTTATTCCAGAGCGAACTTGCTACTTCGGCGGTTCCGCTACAGTTCAGTTGAGGTGAAACGGATCCTTTTTAATAGTTATTGCACTCCTATGTACTGCTCCCAGATATGGGCAGATTATAGTGTGGGCATGATATCTAGATTGCGAGTGGCGTACCACAGCGCCTTGAAGCTGTTACTCTCTGTAAGCAGAAGCACTAGCAACAGCCAGTTATTTGCCAACCTCGGAATCGACACTTTTGACGCTAGACGAAGGAAACAATTGTATTCTTTTGTCACTCGGCTACTTCATAGTGACAATACGATCATCTTTACGCTAGTTCATTCTGACGGCTACTACCTCAGCACATTCTGGAGGCATTACATTAACCTAGTTTTTAAGTAGTTTATTTTCTTTAGGTATAGCTAGATTATCGAGGTTTTATTTATTGTGTTTGTTACAACGCCTCCATTTATTTTTATCTGTCTGTTCGCAACGTGATATGGGCCAGGGGCCTGAATTAAAGAATAAATATGTAATTTATGAAAGATTGGTTTCATTCTGCAAGCGAAAAATTTATACTAGTAAACTCTCCTTATTTTTTCATACAATAAAAATTGTGGCTATACGTATGGGAACGACCGTTGATGACATAATTACCTGTGATTTGTGATTCCAGACGGCTGATTCAGGATACAGGCGTGTTCGACCGATTCGCCCTCCCCACCAGGACCGCAGAGTCAGGTCGGTCGGCTCAATGTCAGGATACAAATTAGAAATGATGACGAATGAATGGATGAGTAATGAATAGATATACTTTTATCTTTATTACACTATCATAGATCCATATCAAATATGATATTGCCTAGCTCGTATGGTCTAAACAGTGTCTGTGATGTAATGTAATGGAAAAGATCATCCTTAAATGAATCAACGTACTAAGCTATGGTTTGATGAAAAGCTTAAGCCCCCTTAGCAAAGGCAAAAAAGACTAATGTGAGCAGGGCGATATGGATCTATTTCGATATGGATCTGTTTTACATTCATGAATGTCGAGTCAATCCTCCTCTTTACAACCAAAAGTAGAAAATAGGAACTCCGGTTGGTGTTATATATAAATGTTTAACCCATGTTAAAACACACCAAGCAAGATAAGAAGACTTTACACTCCAGATTCAGTCACTAACGTCAAATTCTTTTCAGGAGAAGACTCTCCAACAACAGGTCCTATCAGAGTACGGCGGGCGTCCATCGCCCTCTCTCCCGGTATGAACAAGGTAAATATGAACCTGAACAAATTACAGACCCTGACCTTACCGACAGTTACTTACAAGTAATTAGTTATTATACTGGTTAATCATTTTTAAGTAGGTGAAAAGCTCCATTTACCATCATTCTGTATGTTGGCATTGGTTCAAATAATTTTCTTTTCCCCCCTTAAGTTCTTTCTTTCCAAGGAACAAAACTTGTTGACTTTGTTTTTATATCCTGTGCGTTGTTTTATTTCATATACACAGAGGGGATTGACCAATAAGGCTCCCCCGTTTGATTATGAGACCCTAATCTCATTGACCAATCAACAAGCGTGGCTTATATAATTATGGCGATTATACCATTCGTTCAGTTGTTTAATCTTGGTTATATTAACTGAGCAGTCCTTATGTCACCATATACACTTCGGGGCATTAACCATTCATTAAACCCTTACACTGTACTTAGGGAATGCGACGGAGAGCTTCTGTTGCAGCTATCCCAAGATCCATCGCGGTGGGATTAGGAGGGCCACCATCACCGGTAAGTGGTGTTTAGAAGTACCTCACTCAGGGACTAGCGTCACTCACACTCACATCCGTCCTGTATGATACAATACTGATACAAAGTTTTTGGCGACGTCTCAGGGAGGAGCCTAATGGCACAGTATTGTGTGCAGTTTGCAAGAATTCTAGGAATGGTACAGGCATTTTGTCTACAGGCATGGAATGTCCACAGGCATTTCTCTGACCCACATCTATACCCACATTCCTGGAAACCCTTGGGAAGACCTCTCTGCCCCGGATGGCCCTACTTTCTGTGACCCCGGGGCCCGTTTACTATACACTCAGGGGAGGAGTGCACTGTATCTGTCTAGACTTAACCAAGTCTTCCTCAAAATCATGAAATCATGGCAGTGCCATGCAAACAATAACCCTAACAGCAACCACCGTCGCCATGGCAATGACATCACATAAGGCTGAAAAATTCACGAAGGGCAATATATAATACAACATATTTCCTGTGCTAGATCGGAAAGAGACATTGATATTAGGTCAGGGTCAAAATTTAGTTGCATCTTAAAATATTGTATAATTATGTACATTTATGACATCTGAAGCTGTCTTGTTGACAAACAAAATCCTCTTTTGGAAACATAATTTTTGATTAGTTGAAAATATTATAACTTCGTGGAGGTGTTTGTAATGTGCACGAGTACGTGGCCTGATCTGCTATAATATTGACCTTCATACCCAATCTGGTACACAGTACGATACATTCCATGAATTATTGTCATGTCCAACTACCATAATTCTGCTTATGTAGGCCAATTTTGTACACTTTATTCCATAAGCGAGAACATATCATCAATACATGACCTAATGGTAACTCAAATACTGTTTAGATAGTAGTTTGTAGTAAGTAAAGTTTTGTAGTGTTGTTGTATTACTGCCATACATTGTACCTTGTACGATTGTTGAGCAATAAAGTTCATTCATTCATGTCCTTCAGGACGCTGCCGGCGGCAATAGACGCCCCCCGATGGTCAGTCGAGGGTCAGTGTTCGGGCCGAACGGCACCAGCGCACAGGGGAGCTCCAGCGTGGACGACACGGCCGGAGCAGACAAGTCCAAGACGTGAGTTCCTACTCTCGTTTTACATTAGAACATTTTAATACAACGTTAACATGCTGGACGAGGGTCAACCCCTCCATGACCTGGTTCCACCGGCCAGGACAACGGCCACTGGGAGGACCTTTTAAAAGAAATGGAACTACACTTACAGTACCAGCAGCCCGTACAAAAAGACTGAAAAACTCTTTCTTACACAAGGCAATATGCCTGGACAACGAATCTTTGCAGTAACTCTCAGGACTCTCTGGACTGTTCTTTACTGCCCATGTGTGGCTTTGTAATGTGTTTGTTTGTGTGTTTGTATACATATTGTATGTTAATTTTGTATTTGTACAGTACTTACTACACAATTGTAAAAAAATCAGTGTTATTCAGCTTGTATGTGCACCACATGTAGCTGCAAGGCTGATTTTCATTAATAAAACTTGAAAAACTTGAAACTTGGTAACAAATGTCCAGATGAACCACGGAGACCAGGTGATTTAACAAAGTGATATGTGTTCCTCAAGGAAGAATTTGGGGACCATTACTGTTCCTCTTTGATAACGAGTGATCTCCTTGTAGTTATGTTGTTATGTTGTTATGTTGTGGTAAAAGAGACTGAATAGCTGAGGAAAATAGTCATGGTACCCTAGGCCATAAATTAGAGAAAATGTGTTCTTCAGTGCAAGATACTAGGACCTCTTGTTGGAGAGTCTTCCCCTTTTCAATAACAAATAATATTTCTAGATCTTCAGTTGTGAAGGCGGTGCGGTCCAACTGTTTCCATGCCGGCTTATGGAGCTTCATATGATGATAAAACCTTGAAGAAATGCCAAGACATTCATCAATAGATGTCCAATAGTAGTTTGTTCTTCTTTAATAACAAGTGTTTTTTTTTTTTGCCTTTCGCAGCCCTGAGGCTTATGGTGACAGATTTTTTCCCGTTTATTCTTCCAGGACAATTTCAGCCATTAATTACAACAGTGCCCTTTGATAAAGCTCAGTTGTACTCTGCCAGAACTGTTATTTACCGCCAAACTACTTACTCCAAATAAATCAGTTGTGTTGCATATGAAATCGCACTTTACCAAAGCAAAGCAAAATATACTCTGTGAGAATCTCTAAAAAGCAGACTACACAGTTGTATAACCTTACACCTGACAAACTTTGCCAGAGCTGCCAAGCTCATATATTACAACTTTGCATACACAAACTAAGCGAAAGGCCAGCCTTTTCAAAAGTATTTCTTGTTTCTCCAGTTCTGCAGTGGTGAAAGAGGCGGTCCGCCGGTTCTCTGTGGGCCGGCTGATGGAACTGGCCATGGTGACCAAACGGCCGGACAAAAAGAACAGCGTCGGGGAGAAAACAGACAAGCTGGATAAGGAGAAAGAAGAGGAGATTTTTCAGAAAGGGTAGGTGCACGACGTCGGCTTTACTGCATATTAAGGCCACAACAAGTACATTTTATGGATGACATCCTCCGTAGACTGCAAATCTAATGCGAGCGGGCCAAAAAAAAAACAAGGCAGGCCGAAAAAAACAAGGTTCCTACAATTTAAAATTTTGACTCAATCTTTGTACAAATGGTTTTGATTCAGTGGGAACATCACATATACAGCCACCATCACATATCACTGCATCAAAGTAAGAAACAAAACATTAAATCAGAGCCTTTTCTTGTTTCCTCTCTTCATAGTTATCTGCCATCCACCTTCCTGCATGTTTTTTTTTCCAAAATCAAGCCAAAATAAATGCGCGCACTGATGTCATCCATAAAAATTACTTGCTGTGGCCTAAAGCACAAATTACGATTCTTCAGTGGTGTGTCTTCGCTCTTAAAAACATCCTATTCAATTTCAAGGTGGCAAAACTGGATTTTAGTCAATTTTAGGCCATTCTCATCAACCCTATCCCATAACATACTGATATAAGTGAGACAAAAATGCGATGTCACTGACGGAAACGGCTGCTTCTTTTGTATCGGAGGCTGCTTCTAGCTATTTATGGGTGGTACCAAAAACTAAAGAGACGCCTCATGTAGCTTATTCTGGGGCCATTTGAAACGTTTCAATGATGACGAAAATATGCTGCGGAATGTCAGTAAATGTCAATATAAGATACTATTTTCTTCATCCAGAATATGTGTTGTTTTATTTGTTTTGTTTTTCCGCCCCAAACGTCAATTATATGCCTTTTTAACCCCGGAACCAGCTTGATGCGTTTACGATATGTGTACATGCTATATAATAATAACGAATCTTTATTTGCATGTTCATGCCCATGGGGCTAAATGCATACATCAGAATGTGATGTTACATGTACATCATTCTGAGTAACATGATACATAAGATACAAGGATAACAGAATAACAGAATGACGTAAAAGTCTTAACAACTACTAGAGAATAAACTAAACTAAACTACATAATATGCACTGACAAGTAAGAAGTCTGTCTTTCCTTCCTCAGCTTTGAACAGGGTCTAAGAGCTCAGGTTTCTAAGACTCTACTGGAGCTCCGTGAGCAGCAAAAGGAACTGTCTGATAGTGTGGAGCTTTTACTTGAGGAGGAAGAGGAGGATGGGAGCTCTGATCGAGAAAAGTGAGAAAACAAATCATGTTAATTCTTCATCTGCCTTTCAACCATCAGAAACAATCACAGAACGTTATTACCTTCGCCAAGAACGTTATGTTTTCGGTAGCGTTTGTCCGTCTGTTTGTCTGTTTGTCCGTCTGTCTGTGAACAGCATAACTCAAGAAGCTTAATATGCATTGTCATGAAACTTGGTAGGTGGGTAGGTCTTTATAAGAGCTAGAAATTATTAGATTTTGCAGCAGAACTTCCGGTTTTGATATCTCGTGATCTGAACATGCTAGGGTGACGATCGCGAATTTTGGATGACAGATAGCTCTTGGGCTAGGGAAGAAGTGACATGAGTTTGATTTCCCTAGCGGCTTGTTCATGTTCATATTCATTGTAGTGATATATAAGCACATAGTGTTTTTATGTTTACCGAAGGAAAACATATTGTATTCGCTCATTTTCTTCTTCCAAACACTGACCTGGTCAATGACCAGAACCAGGCCGCCTGTCACCATGGTAACTGGTGTTGGGACACGTAATATTGCAATTTTATAGTAGGAGGGATTTAGACTCCTGTCACCATATATGTGAATGTGTTTGAGTAAGAGCAGTCTACATGCGAAGGTAAACATTGCTTTGCAAATGTTACTTTCTAGTCAGTCTCATTTTTGCTTCTTCTACCTCAGTCTATTTTATATTATTAATGGTATGCTTTTTTCTTTGCCGCAGCTACAACACATCTACCACAATGTCCTCAATTTGCTTTTTATTTCCCCAGTGGTACCTTTATCTCATCGATGTACGAAACCATCACTGCACAATTCCTGCCCGGGTGGAGAAGAAAACAGCACATCTGGAGGCTTGTAGTTACAGGCATCATCTGCATGGCGGCGCTGCTGAGCGTCATCTACGCTTTCCTGCCGTCCCGAAGAGGCGTGGTGGAAGAGAACATGACTTAACCCTTGTCCTGCTGGCATTCCTGGCACAATATTTTTCAATAATTTCATGTCTTAATTAGATCATAGACAGACCCCCATTTTTTTTTTGCCCTGCAGTGGCATAGTTACTTCAGCATTCGTTGCGTTTCGTTGCGGTGTGATGCGTTGCACGAGAAATACCCCCAAATCGTACCTATACAGGGTGCTATATAGATGGTACTGTATGTGCCGAGTGACATATGTTGCGCTCAGCAGGACAATACTAATGTCCATGTACTGCAAATTGGTAGAAACTCTACAATTCCTCTAGGAAATCATTCAAATGCTTTTGGCAAATCCATGCTAATTGATGCGTCTGTTTGAGGCACTTATATGATATGTTATGAAATGTAAGCAAACATGTAAAATTTTGAATCAAAGTACAAATAAGTGTTTATTAGAAATCCCCCTTAATCATGCTGTTTTGTGCCCCTTTAATTCCCACAGACAAAATAGCAGAACTGAAGATGTATGTACATGTATATCGCGAATCAAAAACGTACACGGACATAACAGCGCACAGACAGACACACACACACACACATACATACACACGGACAAACGGATGAAGTCATTGTATCTAGCCACTCATGTGCCTGTAACAACACCATCACGTATTTGAATAACATTGTACATTGTATTCTAAACACTGTTTATTGTACTCTAAAGTAAAACCTGTACCATGTACTGTTCCATTAGGCCACAGCAAGTAATTGTTATGGATGACATCAGCGCGCGCATTAATTTTCGCCTGATTTTGGAAATAAAAAACAAAAAAATTTTGTTGCCTTCTGACAGTGGTCACCATGCCGAAAATGGGCAAAGATGTCTGTTGCCATGCCGGAAGGTGGATGGCAGATAACTATGAAGAGAGGACACAAGACAAGGCTCTGATTTTTTTCTTACTTTGATGCAGTGATATGTGATGCTGGCTGTGTATATGTGATGTTCCCACTCAATTAAAACCATTTGTACAATGATTGAGTCAAAATTTTAAAATGTAGGAACCTTGTTTTGCTCGGCCCGTCTTCTTTTTTTCGACGCTCGCATTAGATTTGAAGTCTGAGGAGGATGTCATCCTTAAAATTTACTTGCTGTGGCCTTAGTTATAGTCACTGTAGTTATCTACCCGAGTATGGTTGGCACTCCAGTAAGTGTCTATATCAGAGCTACCCTTGACGCCACAACTTGTGTCAAATGACTTAAAACATATGAAGAAGACAACAGGGCAGATTTGTTGTCATTCCTGCCTACTATAGCTAAACCCTGTAAGCATGTAATTATGTTTACCGAAGGAAAACATATTGTTTTTACTCAGTTTCTTCCTCCTCTTCTGTTCCAACACTAACCTCTGACCTGGCCAATGACATGATTTGTTGACGTCTGTCACCATGGTGACTGGTGTTGGGTTACATAATGTTGCAATTTCATGGTCTGCTCTACTCCTGTCAACATATACTCGTAGCATGATTGTACACGAGTGTATACATTCATACATGTATGTGAATGTGTTTAATTAAACATTAACAGGGCAGACCATGTCTGAAGGTAAACATTATACATTTGCTTTGGAAATGTTACTTCTCTAGTTGAAAATCACATTAATGTGTTAGAGTCAAGTCAAGTCACCAAGAGGGGTTTTAGTTAAGGATTGTAATAATTTTGAATTATTTGGAAGAAAAGAATATCTTAGTAACAAACGTTTTGAATTTCGTCATAAATTTGATAATGAAAATTTATGATAAATGATAAATGAAATAAATACGTTTCAATTCATTTAGATATTTCTGAATCATTCTGAATGTGGCTGTACTCCTTATTCAGAATACATTTCAAGTCCCAATGTGATTCTTTAATTTTTCGAAATTTTTCGGAATATTTAGAAATATTTTTTTTAATTCCAAAAGGTAGATTTTATTGCTAGACACTAGTAGCATGCTTACGCTTTTCAATTTTGTTCGGCCAGCAGCCCTCCACAACAAGCTGTGGAACGATGATCAGGAACAGGAGAGCGAGAATACGGTGCACAGCCATCTCTCTGGACGAAACCTCAGCTCTGGTCTGGGCAGTAACTGCTGATATATAAACGTTTTCTGCGTCATGCATCGATATAAGCGTCCCTGTTACTAGTAGTTCACAAGTGAGTACCATAGCATTAATGCGTTTATCCAAACATCCTTGATTCAACAGTTCATGGTAGACACTTTTTTATTTTATTTATTCAGAAACAAAGTGATGATTACAAATGAGAAGACATGGACTAAGTGGCTGCGAACTCAAGTTAGGTACAACTTATATTCTCGCAGCCACTTTTACAATGAAAGAAAAATATTTTACAAGACATTAAAATATACATGAGACATCGCGTGAGTAACAAACCTCCCATCCCAGAAGACACATACAGTTAGAATCTTTTTGTTTCTGATATATAATTTTGAGCGGCTAACATTATTTTACAGTTGGTATCATACGAACAAAGGAAACTACCGCGGAGAACTAAATATTGTATAGAATTATCAGAAAGGGTGTTTAAATCAACAATATTACCATCAAGCATACTTGGTAGAAACTTGGCTCAAAGTTTGACATGATTGTTCGTTTGGCGTCAGCTTCTTGACCCATTAATGAGGCTTGAAGTTTGCGTCCTTGGGTCTTGAACTTGACCTACTTATGAGTTAAGTATCCGCACGCGCAGAAAGTCCCACATCGCACGGATTGACCGGTGAGACTGGAAGGAATGTTTCCGAAGAACATTCTAGAATTGGGTTTTAACCACACTGTCCACAGCTTGAAGAACAAAACATGCAATTGTTTTAAATGACTTAACATTCAAGGAAAACTATTCTCTGATGAAAGTACAACAACTCAAGCAGCAGTGCTAAAGATTTTTCTGACATCCTACTCGATTTGAAACGCTCTTTGCAATCACAATATTGAGGCAGATCAATGATAAAAATATTAAATAACAATGGGCTGAGGTTACAGCCTTGTCTCACTCCACATGCCGAGGCAAATGGACTTGACAAACCATTTCGAAGTCTACAACTTAATTCCAAAAGGTTAAAAGTTAAAGATTGCACAACCAACGTCTTATTAACAATGTGCATGACGTATGTTGCGTAAAAATGTTATAAATTCATTTGCTGTTTAAACTAAGACATTTTTATCAATGATTATCAATGCTTTTAATCAACTTTTTAAAAAGGTAGGTTACGAAACCAGCTACTGTTAGAGAAATGTCTCAGGTGGTAGAGAGTTCCGGTTGGCTAGTACGAAATACTAACACTTCCTAGTTGGGGCTTGACTCAAGAGCTGTCACGCCATTTGGCCAGGCAAGACCAGCGATATTTCAAAACATTAAATTACCTACATATACATAGCTAGAAGGACGTCATTGTTGGTCAAGTGACTCTTGTTCCTTGTCAAGGATTTTACTTGTGTTTTAAGGCCCACAACTTAAGATCTTAAGCTTGGCATATTTTCCTTGTATGTAAGTGGGCGTAAGACGAAAACCTAGTTTGTGTACCAAAGAAACGTAAGGACATGAAACTGCCTTGAATATACGTTTCTTTATTTCTACAAACGATAAATGTGTATAGTATCTGTACCGACTTTACTTCAAATTTAAAGGTCTCTGCTTGAGATGCTTAAGAATTAATAACAGTTATTTCACACAAGAATGCTGTGCTTCTAAGACTTCTTTTGGACATCTTTTAAGTATTAAGATAGTTCTTTCCCCACGCTATTCCAGGTAGTTTCATGTTCTTAGCTTTCTTTGGTACGCAAATTCTGCTACCCTAAGAAGCCAAGAGATAAGTGACCACAACAAAAAGGAAGAAAACAACAAGGTCTATGTGTTGCTCTGTCAAAATTTATTTCTCAAAGTTTGAAAGTGGCAAAGAATCAACTACCTCGTTACTAGATCTAAACACTCAAAAAGGAAGAAATTATTTCTCGTCATAAAATAGAGACTTAAATGCGTTTTAGCGCTTGATGTCGTGCAGCAATTCCTAGGATTGCAATCCACTTTTTTTGGACTGGGTTACACTGTAAAAAGAAAAAAAAAGAGTGTTTTGATTATTGCTTCCAAAATGTATTAAACAACATATCAATGATTGTCGACGTCGTTACATTGCTGTGAATGCAAATGTACCTATTGTTTTCATTTGAGTGAATATTTTCCTTACCGCATTAGCCTCTTTGGCTCCAGTTTTCCCCTGCCAGGTGCATAGCCTCCACCTCTTCACAGGTGACCGTCCCGTGGCCGCCCGCCCGCCCGAACAGCTCGCCGGTCTCGGAGTTCACGCAGTAACACTCCCCTTCGGCGGTGCACTGCTCTAACTTGAAGGATCCATCCGCCTCGCACTCTTTGATGAAACCTCCGGGCAGCACCGTGGGGTTGTCGGAGTCCCTCTGTTTCTCACAGGGAGTGCGTTCGTCTACAAGAAGAACAAAACATCTTACAGAATATCAAAATTCTTTTTATCACAACCATTTATTTTTCAGGCCGACGTTTCGATGACCTTCTGTCATCTTCATCAGGGCAATTCTGACTGGTTTACTGTGCACTGACACTAGATGTTACTTGGTGCATAGTGCACTGAAGGTGTTACATATTTCATAGTGCACTGAAGCTAAAATGTGTAAACAACCTACATGTACATTTCGTGCTGGCTTTTTACACATAAGCCCTAGTTCCATGCTTGTGATACTAGCATAATTGGTTTGACTATTCTTTTTCTTGTTGTTTCATTTTAAGTATTTTTTACTTTGGTCTCAAATAAATCTGTACATGGAATTGCATATTATATGAATGAATGAACTTAATTGCTCGACAACCGTACATAGTACAATGTGTGGCAGTAATACATGTTTATTTTAAACGCTGGCTTCCAACAGGTTTCAGAAGCGACTGGAAAGAGTAGAAAATGAAATGGGCAGATAACATGCCAGGGGAGTTGGTCCGCTAGAGGAGTACTGATTTCCGAAGCGGCAACTGTACTCATTTATTCCCCTGGCATGCTATTTGTCTTTTTTGCCCATTTCTTCTCTTTCCAGCCGCTTCTGAACCCTGGTAGACGCTAATTCTATTCCATCCGTATAGCCAATGTTGATATTAGTGGTAAAGCACAGATTGACTGCAACCCACCTTCCCTCAGTATGTAGTAGTCGTCGCAGCCGAACGGCCGTCCCCGCAACCTGGTCTCCGGGAACAGCACGCCGGTGTAGGGGTGCGCGCAGAAGCAGAAATCCCCTTTCCAGGCGCACTGTACGGTGCTGTAAGTCCCGTCAGGGGCGCACTGCTTCACAAAGGTCTTCCCTCGACCGGCCTGGGCGTCTGCACGCTCCTGCTCGCACCGAGACAACGGGCCTGGGAAGATTAAAAAAAATGACGTTTGTACGTTACTTGTTGAAGATTGCCACAATATAGCTTGCAAAAAGTTGTCTTTATTGAGGTATCCTTTATCCTGATAAAAGTCTTAAAATGTCAAAATCTTTGTTTCTAGGAGCTTGTTAGCAGAGAACTACATAGGCACGGTTCTAGATACCAAAAAATATGCCCTAAAACATGGACGGGCCCGCGCAAACCAGTAGAGTCAACGGAAAATGAAAAGAGAAGGCATGCTTACGCTTTTCAATTTTGCTCGGCCAGCAGCCCTCCACAACAAGCTGTGGAACGATAATCAGGAACAGGAGAGCGAGAATACGGTGCACAGCCATCTCTCTGGATGAAACTCAGCCCTGGTCTGGCCTGTATGGCAGTAACTGCTGCTATATAAACGTTTCTCGCGTCATGCATCGATATAAGCTTTCCTGATTACTTCACAGTTGAGTTCCATAGCATACATGCTTTATCCAAACATCCTTGATTCAACAGTTCACGGTAGACACTTGGCTCAAGGTTTGACATGATTGTTCGTTTAGCGTCAGCTTCTTGACCCATTAATGAGGTTTGAAGGCTGCGTCCTTGCGTCTTGAACTTGACCTACTTCTGAGTTAAGTATCCGCACGCGCAGAAAGTCCCACATCTCACGGATTGACCGGTGAGACTGGAAGGAATGTTTCCGAAGAACATTCTAGAATCGGGTTTTAACCACACTGTCCACAGCTTAAAGGACAAAACATGTGATTGACTTAATTTATTCAATGAAAAATATTCTTTGAGGATGTAAGGATGACTACTATTATATACATGTATATCTTAACAAAAATCTCGATAAGCGAATAGGAAATGTGCATTTACACGTGCTTTAAAGACCACTATGTCGGCCGATGATGTTTGTTACGTTTTTAAGAGAGTGACCCATGGTGTCCTTGAAGTTCAAGTGGTGGTACCAGCTTGTTACAATGTGTATGTTAATAAAGGTTGGCATTTTCCAGTTAGGAGGCGAGACGAGAGCGCCACCTATCAATTGTAAGCGGTATTACAGTTCAGTTCATTCTCATTACAGTGCTGGTAACCTCGTAGATCGCAATCGTCTACTCATTGACGCACCAAACTAATGACCACATCTTAAAGTTACCATTTCTTTACAAGACCGTGGTACCTGTAGGTGTTGATGAGACCTAGAAATGATTAGATTTTAGGCCCCCTGGCGGCTGTCATTTGTATTGCAGCAGAAATTAATCTAGGTATGCTAGGATCACGAATTTTAGGTGGTAGATAGCTCTTGATATAGGGAAGAAATGGCATGAGTTTAGGCACCTTAGCTACTTGTTATGCAACTACAGGGCAGCTTGTTTAAAAAATCTTTGAGGGTGAATAAATAAAGGACCGGCTGACAGATTGTCATAACGTTTAATATGTAGGCAGCTTAAGTAATGATTGGCCTAATTAGATGGCAATTTTTAAATCAAGATTAAATTTGCATAACTAATGAGGAAATTCTATGTATCTGCTGTGTTCCACAATAGGACTATGAAACACTTGTGACATGTAATTAAGAATGATAGGAACATCTGACGATAAAGATTATGTAACTCAAGACCTAATTGGCATAATTAATTAAAAATTGCTATAATTTCATAATGGGAACTGGCAGGCAGTTCATACTTGTACTTGCTGCATTTGGAAGTTAAGTAAAGGTAAACATCAATAAACATAATTTATTCAAATCATGGCCTCATTTGTATAATTTATAAATAGCTTTAAATATGATCAACTTATATAATCCATGATGGAAATAAAATGAGTATCTTATCTTTATAATCAATGAGAAAAATGTATCACTTCGTCAGTCGGAATGGTTAACATCATTTGGCAAAAGTATGATATCGTGAAACTCTGGTTAGGCCACAGCAAGTAATTTTTATGGATGGCATCAGCGCGCGCATTAATTTTCGCCTGATTTTGGAAAAAGAAAAGAAATTTTGTTGCCTTCTGACAGTGGTCAACATGTCGAAAATAGGCCAAGATGTCTGTTACCATGCCGGAAGGTGGATGGCAGATAACTATGAAGAGAGGAGACAAGAAAAAGCTCTGATGTTATGTTTTGTTTCTTACTTTGATGCAGTGGTATGTGATGTTGGCTGTGTATATGTGATGTTCCCATTGAATCAAAACCATTTGTACAATGATTGAGTCAAAATTTCAAAATGTAAGAGGCTTGTTTTTTTCGGCCCGCCTTGTTTTTTTTCGCCCGCTCGCATTAGATTTGGAATCTATGGAGGATGTCATCCATAAAATTTACTTGCTGTGGCCTTAAGTAATGAATTGACCTTTTTTGACTTAAGGAATAAGAAATCATCGCAAAAGAATTCGTCTCTATCCATTCCAGATTTGTCTAAAGCTGTCTCGGTGGTGGTCCCGCAGAGGATGCCGGGTATAACGGATGTGACGTAACATCCCGGGAGACCTCTTCGCCCACCTGCTCTGAGAGTGTTTGACGTAACATCCGGTAGAGGTCATCTCGCAGCTTAGGCGCGAGTTTCCGGCGCATCCGGCCAACCCTGTCAGTCCCTATACAGAGATGCATATCTTCGGTATTCTGTTCTTCCAAAACAATTAGAACAAGTAAAATCTGAGATTTTATACCTCCGGGCTTTTTATTGTATATTTTTACCTCCATTAAAAATAGAGGTATTGTTTTTGGCGTGTCTGTTTGTATGTCTCTCTGTTTGTCTGTCTGTGTTTCCGCAACTTTGTGGTCAGCATAACTTCAGAACGCCTTTATGGATTATGATGATATTTGGTATGTTGGTAAGTCTTGGAAAGACAAAGGTCAAGGTCAAATATGGGCCTCCTGGTGGATGACCTTGGTACTGCAGCAGAACTTCCGGTTTTTGTATCTTTTGTCCTGAAAATGCTATGGTCTTGACTTTTTGGTGGCAGATAGCTTTTCCTGTCAGGAATAAGTGGTGTGAGTTTGGTCCCCCTAGCAGCTTGTTCTGGAACTGCAGGGCACTTTCTGGCGAAATGTTTAAAAGCCAATAAGTCCAGATAGGAACAACGTATTTTCATGATTTTTGGTGTGTAGGTAGCTGAGAGAGAGATGCACATGATTAAATGCAAATTATGCAAATGGGGACTTAATTTGCATAATTAATGAGGAAATTCTATGATTACAGTGTTTTACATTATACTACTTTCATACATGTAATGTATGTAACCTATGGCAGGCAGAACATCAACAGATACTAATTATGCAAATGATGACCTAATTTGCATAATTTATGCAAAAATTCTATGATTTCTTAATGGTGAATAATGGGAATGTCATACTTGGGACATCTGTAAGTTAATCAAAAGTTAACATACATCACGATGCATATATCATGTTAATGCGGAGGTAATTTGCATAATCAAAGAGGAAATTTACATTTACATATCAAGCCCATATTTCATGGAGGTATGAAATCTCGGAATTCTTGTTATATAGGGTTTTAAACAAAGAATTTATCGAGACCGGACACCCCTTTGTGTGAGGGGTCATATACGTGGACCAGACCGAGAATACCTTAAACACGCCAAAGGTCAACGGTCGCGACCACTTTCACGCTCAAAGGGGTGTTTAGGGGCCACCAAAAGGCACCATTTTCACGCCCGAAAACACATACACAATAAAAACAAAAGAACGTGCATCATCTGCAGCCCAATAGCAAAAGAATCCGCCCACCCAAACGTGAGAAACAGCCGCGAACATGAAAATCTAAATCTCTCACAAAACCCTTCCGCGGAGGTAATTACCTTTTCACGGAGATCATTTCTAGATGTCAAAACTAACTCAGACGTTTAGAACGGTTGACTCTGTAGAAAAGTTTTAACATCTTTTGCAAAAATTTCTATTACAAGGTGTACTAATCTTTCATCGAAGCCTCTCGTCGGATTTTTGTTTACAACAGAATGGTCTAAATAAACCGTGTGCCTCAAGTACCCTAGGCCACACCAAGTTAATTTTATGGATGACGTCCTTTGGAGACCCTAAATCTAATGCGAGAGGGCGAAAAAAAAACAAGGAGGGCACTAAAAACAAGATGCCTAGATTAGAAATATACTAAGAGACGACGAATGTTAGGACACAAATTGAATGAGGTGACACAGATTAACAAGCAAGAAGTCTTTTATTCATCATCAAAACAGCAATATAAATCAGGTGGAACAGTGGACAGTGAAAAATTTTCTGTTATTGACAGGATGGTCCTCTCAATAGTGCAAATTTTCTGTTATTGACCGGATGGTCCTGTCAATAGACACTTTCTTCGCGTTACGAGTTTCACATCAATCTGGTGATTTGCGGCACTGTCGTGACTCTTTGGTCATAGTTACAGGAAGCGGAAATTCTTGTTTTTTTTTCTTCTAGGAACAGGCCAAAATCAATGCGCGCGCGGACGTCATCCATAAAATTTACTTGGTGTTGCCTTACCGTGTAAAGCACGGGCGCCACCTGGCGGCTCGAGCGGACGTGCAGACGCTGTTTCCTCGGTAACAGGACCAGCTTGCCTGCTCACAGCTGCCGCCTTGCGGATCTCAGCGGTAATGTCCCGCAGGAACTGCGTCTGAACGGCTTCCCGGCTGGCGTCCTTCCTCCTGTACTCTCGCATCTCAAACCTATATAAGCAAAGAAAAAAAGATACTGGCCACTGTATTTTGTGGATTCGGACAGTAGTTTTCAAGATATCAGTAAGCAGTGTCCATGTTGGAAATCTTACATTTGGACTTGATACTGATAGTATGACAAAGGTTCGAATAAGATAGAAACTATCCTCTATACAATCCATTCATATTCATCCATCTATCTATCTACATGCTTTTACATATGAAATATGATTTTATCTAACTGACAATGAACGAATGAATGAACTTTGGTGACCTGAGACTGGAGAAGTCCTGTTTAATCTCAGCTATGATGTCATCAGCGACCTTTTCCGTTTGCTGAGACTTGTAGTGATGGATGTAGCGACGGACCAGCCGCTTCAGGACAGACTAAACAAACAAACAAACAAACAAACAAAACATTTCCAAAGCACAGGCATAATGTTTACATTCGCATTATCTGCTCTGTTAATTCTTACTTTAATTCTTACTCAAACACATTAATATACATGGCATGGTCAGACAGGAGTCTAAATCCCTCCCGCTATAAAATTGCAACACGATGTAACCCAACACTAGTTACCATAGTGACAGACGTCTGGTTCAGGTCATTGACCATATTGGTTTGAAGAAGAAGAAGAGGAAGAGGAAACAGAGCAAAAACAATATGCTTCCTTCGGTAAACATAAAAACAATCATTAACCACATAACACTGTCTACACCCTTCGTATATATCGCTTGTTCAATTGATTTCAATACGTTAGATGCTATAGATAAATGCAACTACATTCTCAGGGGAGATAACCAATACAGTGTTCAAATAGGAAAATACATGAAAGAATGTTTCGATCTTAGAGAACACATGTTAGAGAATAGTTAACCTTTATTGTTACATCATACATATACTCTGTACGTAAGATGACGTTATCCACACATGTATTTAGCTTTGTTAGATCTTTAGTTAAGTTGTAGAAGACCATACAAAAGTCTCTGTACTTTTTTGTTGTGTCAATAAAGAATCTCACTATATAGCTACCTACCTATTTCTTCAACCTGACTTGTTTGGAGGACAGATGGACATAGAGATGGCGACTTGGCACCAGATGTGCCTATGTAACCTTCACACAATGTCCGACCTGGAGGGATTTTCCTAAAAGCTATCTAGAAATAGATGATATTCAAGAAATGGGCACCTGATATTTTCCCCACGTGTCCTCGCCTCTTTCTTTCTCTCTTGGGCCGTCCTCCTGAAAGATACATTTTATATGTTACAAACACATGTTAGAACTAGAAAGGCCGACATTTGATTGGGAGCAAATACAGCATATTTCAGTCCATCTCCCTCCCACGCAAAAGTGGACTATTCCAAACTTACCCCAGTGCAAAACTGGCAAAGGTTCTCAAATAAATGAATTAAATAGTAGCTATATGAGAACAAAGATGCAACAACAACTACTTTGAATCTCGAAAGCTTTACTAATCTTATTACAGGTATGCAAAAACTAACAATGATGAGATCTGATACATTTTGAAGGTCTTAGGCACATAAAATTGAATGTGTGGGTCATTACGCACCACTTAGGTGCAATGTGACCTCAGGTAACCCGCAATGGAACACGTGTTCCATGGATGGAACCGGCCATTCTTTAGATGGAACATGGAACGGGTACAGCACTTTTGGCCCTTTTTTTGCTGAAAATAGCCATTAAAGTCCCCCAAATGAGTCATTTGGCAGTGGTGTATGCCAAATACATGACTGCTATTCTGTAGACACACGTTCAAGGTACCCTTATACCGAATGTCATATCATTTGGTTGTAATACCAGGGCTCAGGATCCAAAAATCCATTTTTTGTCGAAAAATGCCCCAAAAAACCTTCATAAAAATTTTTCAAAGGCATGTTTCAAAAAAATGAAAAAAACGCCTGGGGGTATTTGCCCACTCTACCTTCATGCCAAATTTCAAGACATTTGGCTGAATGATGGCGGAGTTGAATCCCTTTGACTGTTTGGCAGGAGGAGGAGAAGGAGGAGGAGGAGGAGAAACATGAGGGAACACAATATATTTCATCCATACCATGGTATAGACTGAAATATAACAACTGCCTCACGCGAAGATGAAAATATCACGCAAACTTCAATTCCATCGAAAATATATCATTCAAGTGACCTACCAAGAAGTAACAGGAATTATTCAAGTTAAATGTGTATCATAAGTGATAATAGTGATGAAAAATGGAAAGTTCTTAGATCTGATACTGTTTGTAGGACACTGGTGAACAGAGGTCTTACAGAAGCAGCTGAGTTGGTGTTTTCATCATGGGGTGTAGTATCAGCCAGGGCCGCTAGGTGTTTATTTCCCGATCGGTCACTGCCTCGCCTCCCCCGAAACATCCGGGCCTTCTCCCTCCAGACCGGCATCCTTTGCCGTGCAGCCCTGTACACATACTGTCAAGAAGGAAAATTATTTTTCGACTGAAGCAATAGAATTCGGAGATCTCATACCTCCATGAAATATGTAGAATTTATGTAAATGTTTTTACTTCGGAATTCGTCATCCTATTTGTGATCCTACTTGCTTCCTATTCGTGACCATATTTCACCTTGACCTTTGTCTTCCTACGACCTACCATAAAACCAAATATCATCACAATCCATAAAGGCGTTCTGAAGTTATGCTGACTACAAATGTGTGGAAGCACAGACAGACACACACACAGACACACCAAAAACAATACCACCATTTTTTAAGTAAATAGTAGACCAAAAACCAATGCCTCTGCACTTTCTGGTATCGTGCAATATGAAAGAGTGGACTTTTGGTCTCCAATCAAGCTTGCTAGCTACTAGACCAACGCTTTTGAGACTTCCACTAGTACTGGCCGTTATATTTCCATAGCACAACGTTCTATTCATTGTTACTTAAGACAATTGAAGATGTTTCACCTTTAGAAAGTAGTAGATTGACTTAGGCGTGACGATGATGTTGTATGGAGGGGGTAAGGTGGTCCCGTCATCGAAGTAGCTCAACCAAAGTTTGGTTCTCGCGTACTTCCATTCCATGTCGGCGTGAGCCTGGGTGTAATTGGTATAACATATCGATCTCTTACTGCGTTAAGCATGTCTTTATTTTGGAGGGTACCGTTTAAATAACTAGAATCAGCCTACGATACAAAACAAGCAACCGTTTTCCGTCGGTGATATTGCATTTTAATTTTGCCTCAGAGATAGCAGTGTACTATATGGGATAGGGTTGATTCAACTTAGTTATCAACCAAGAATTGAGGTGTTCAAAAACGTGTATTTCCCCCAGAACTATCGTAGACTGGACCTAGTTGCCACCAAGCACTGTAGGGGCATCATCACTAGAAAGCTTTATCTATTTTAAACAACTCCTGCAATTAAATGTGCAAAGATTGAGTGTAACAAGTCGTTCGGTGTGATATAGCTAGCTGCCGCCATGCCGCGTGCCTGGAAAGCGGGTGTTACACCAAGGACGTTTATACCGGCTATGTTGATACAGATACAGATACATAACTTACTACATTAAAAGAATGACCTGAAAATTGACTTTGAAAATTAAATTTTACCACCCTGAAATTGCACTAGATACCTTTATAACAGTTAAATTTCTCCACATTACTACATACACTGTAGTAGTAGTAGTAGTAGTAGTAGTAGTAGTAGTAGTAGTAGTAGTAGTAGTCTCGAAAGCTTGTTCGGTACATACATATGACCGCTTTTCAACAAGGTCGAGGGTGAGGGCGGGGTCACGGATTACAAATCAAACCAAAATATAATACAAAATCAAAACAAAGTGCAAATCAAAATATAATACAAAAATAAATAATGCCCACTGTGATAGTCTATGGTGTTAAGAATCTCCAAGCAGATTCTCGGGGCAAGGGGGTCTATATTGGCCACCTGTAACCATTGGTAACCCCTTATGTGATATGTGGCGTATTGGATACTGCCTGGACAATTTGATACAGTATACTGTCTTACAGCCACCCAACGATCTGTTGTGAAATTACAGTGTCCGAGCTCACGTCTATGTCCTGGTAAGAGTCCGTCATGGTGGCGATGAGCTGGTTGAGCAGGATGACCACGGCGGCGATCTGGTAAGCCCCGAGCAGCAGGGAGCCGGTGGACACCAGGAACGCGTTCTTCTCCTGCATGTCTAACGCCTCCTGACCGATCAGTTTAAACAGCGACCAGAACAGCGTCAGGAAAGCCGCGTCAAACCTAAGGTGGGATTTTTCATCAATATGTCGTAAGTTATACCAGCTACACAGATACAGTGTACAGATAACGAGCAGCTCATATAAGGGACCTCGCGGGGTTGCCTAGATGCGTGACGACTGATATGCCTATTGCTGTATGTGTGTGTGTGTGTGTGTGTGTGTGTGTGTGTGTGTGTGTTTGTGTGTGTGTGTGTGTGTGTTGTGTCAGCTGTGTGCCTGTGTGTGTGTTTGTGTGTGTGTGTGTGTGTGTGTGTGTGTGTGTGTACGTGTGACGTGTGTGTGAGTGGGTGAATCCATGTTTGTGTGCATGTATATGCATGTGCATATGTGTGGATGCGTGTATACATATGTATGTGTGTGTGAATTTATTATGTATAGGAACATATGTGTGTGTGAATGTCTAGGTGTCTGTATTCACGTATATGTGTGAATGCATATATGTGTGTGTGTATGTATGTACGCATGTGTGCGTGTGTGTCTGTGAATGTCTCTATTTATGCCTGCATGTGTGATGCATGTGTGTTTGTGTATGCAGTATTAATGTGTGTTTTCGTCTCTCTCTTTCTCTCTCTACGTGCATGTACATGTAAATGTGTTGTCTCTTTGCGAATGCATGATTGTATAACTCACGTCAGAAACTCAGTGGGGTTCCCCTGACAGGTCCTCCGCCCTCCCTCCCCCTCACACACCTCCGTGTCCCTGTAGAAGCCGTACAGCTGGCTGAACCCCACGGCGAACGACGCCATGATGAGGAAGAACACCGACAGGAACTTGCCGATGTCCAGCAGCATGCAGCCCAGCGTGATCTGCAGCGGGCCGAGGTGGGGGTTGGCTGGAGGGGAAACAGTTCAGACGTTACCACCGTGAATAGTTTCATCAAGAAAGATGTCCAGACTATGCATGATGTACAAAATGACAAATAAACTGGTTGACGTCCCAACTACTAAGTACCTAATACCAGCCCAGAAGAGAACAAGAAATAGCCATGCCTTCAAGTACCAGAGTTATCAACCAAGGTATTTTTTTTTTTTTTTTTTTTTATTTGCAAATTCAACAAGGACAATACAAGACAAGGTGGTGAGGTACTCTAGCTGTTGCTAATTTTAGCCTCACCACCAAACATAGAATACAATTACAATACATAAACAAAAAACAGAGAACAG